TCTGCATTTTCTAGTCGCTGCGATTTAAGCAGTGGTCATTTGGAGTGGTTTGATGTGAAATGGTTCATTGTAGAAAAATGTACCTACTCAGATTTCTTTACAGTGGTGATGATAGGAACCGGAGGGCTCCATTATTTACTATGCAAATCGACTAATGAGCCTGCATGGGACTTTTTCATGGGAGTTTTTAAGTTTTCTTTGGGGATTTTTTTGCCTCACAAGGCCCTGTATGTAGATGTGTGCTATGGAGCCCTTAAGGTGACATGGTTTTTTAATTTTTTAATTAGGCACGGCCACAAAGTACTATGTTGAGGCCTCAAATTAATAAACTGAAGCTACTAATTACTATATTGAGGCCATAATTTACTATATTGAGACCCCAAACTACTATATCGAGGACGAAAATTTACTATACTGAGGCCACGAATTACTATATTGACAATATTGAGGCCACAAGGCCACAAAGTACTACATTGAGGCCACAAATTAATAAACTGAAGCTACAAATTACTGTACTGAGGCCATAATTTACTATATTGAGACCCCAAATTACTATATTGAGGACTAAAATTTACTATACTGAGGCCACAAATTACTATATTGACAATATTGAGGCCACGAGGCCACAAAGTACTACATTGAGGCCACAGATTGCTATATTGAGGCCACAAATTAATAAACTGAAGTTACAAATTACTATATTGAGGCCATGAGGCCACAAAGTACTATTTTGAGGCCACAATTTACTATATTGAGGCCACAAGTTATTACATTGAGGCCACAATTTACTATGATGGGGCCACAAATTACTACATTGAGGCCCCCAGTTATGTGAAACTTAACTTGTGGCTCCAATTTAGTAATTTGTGGCCTCAATATGGTAATTAGTGGTCACACCTTATTAAAATATAGTCACCATGTCACCTTAGGGGCTCCGTACATTAATAACCACTTCATGCAATCACTTTCTGTGAGATTTCTGTGAGATTGAGAGTGCTTTAAGAACCATTTAAGGGGAATTCCACTGATTTTTTCAAAATCTCTGTATGGTTAAATCATTAAGATGTAAACAAAGTAATTCAGAGTGGTGTCAGTGGCGACGATAGGAACCAGATGTTCGAAAAATTAACGCCTCTAAAAGTTCCCTCACAGGAAGTTATTCTATAAGAGCTTGTTTTGCAAAAAATTTTGAGAAGGTTTTGGGCTAAAATGTATTTTTAAAACACATAGCGTAGAGGTCAGCTACATGCAGGAGGTGGTCAAGTAAAATAGTACCAAAAAAAAAAACATTTTCTCAGATTTACCATCATCAACATTATATATAAAAACTCAGAAGACTCGTGTAGGTTCACTGGTGGTTCTGTATAGTAAATAAAATATCTATATTTGTGTTGTAGACATAGTGACCCCTGGTTCCTATCACCACCACTGTAAAGAAATCTGAGACTGAGTGACATAAAAATACATTGAAAAATAACTTTGTTTACATTTCAATCTTTGAATTATGTAGAAAATTCTGTAGAATTCCCCTTAAAACATTTTGGACGTCTGGTTCCTACCACCACTGCGGTGAACAGTTATGACTTAATACGTTTCTCTACATCAGACCACTCTGACAGCCTTTGTTTACATCTGAACCATTTAACAATTCAGAGAATTTGAAAAAACTAGCACACTTAAAGGTGCAGTGTGTAAGATTTAGTGGCATCTAGTGGCCGTCGGATTTTCTGCTGTCGCCTGTCCCGATTTCGTTTTGCTTCTTCATGTTTTTACTCCTTCATGTTTTCGCTTCTTTGACAATAAGGAATCACCCTCCCTCGCTTTTTCTTGTGCTAAATAATAAGTATGATCCTCCTTTTGTCAGAATTTGGGTTCTCAAACTTCTCACAACACAAAATGGTTACCAGCACCGGCAGCGGCCTTGATTCCTCTTCTATGTCTTTCAACCAGTGCTTCAGTGCCCAAATTCGGACTGCCACTTCAACTTAAAAAACAAAAGGCACTGTCTAGAGTTCTGGGCTACTGTAGAAACATGTCAGCGCAACATGGTGGCCTCTGTTGGAAGAGGTCCTGCTCCCTATGTAGACATGAAGGGCTCATTCTAAGCAAATGAAAACTCAACGATTCATAGTTACAGGTGATTATACACTAATGAAAACATGGTTTTATATACTAGATTCAATTTCTGATAATAGATCCCCCTAAATCTTACACACTGCACCTTTAACCACATGAATCCACTATGGTAAAGCTCTACTAACTGAAGAACTACACTTTGAAGAAGTGGTGTGGACATGTCCCCGACAACCCCGGTGCAAATGACACCTCAAGTACATAATTATATTTGAACAGTATAACAAAACAACAGTTTTGAGGGCTAAAATAAACTACATCTGCACTTACTCAGTAGACTAAACCTGTTTTAGTTCATCCCTGTTTCTCCACTCCAGACCTTGATTGTTGGTTTGGCCTTTTCAGCTGTGTAACAGTTTTTTCCTAATTGCTTGAACCCTAAAATTAACTTGACACAAATAAGACTCAAACCTGAAGCTCAGCTTCTAAAACCCTTTTCAACTTTTAGCTTTCAACGCTATTACTTCATTAATTATTACTTACAGACATGCTTTTTATAGAACGTCTCCAATGATCCAGTAGAATTATCTGTTTATCTGTTCTGTGTATCATTTGGAATATAGTGCATGTTTTGGAAATACTGCCGGATTGTGACAGCAATTTGATGTGGGTGGACTGGTAAACATCTCTGAGGTTTGTGTTAAGTAATGTTAATGGTGTAATGGTGCCTAAACCCCCTGTTGAGTCTAAGAAGCAATGGTGCTAGTGTGAGGAAACAGATGCAGTCCAGTCTGGCACATGACGTTTAATCACACTACATAAAGAAATAGTCACACTGTAGGCCAAAAGCAAGACTGACTAATATATATATATATATATCAAATTACAATGGATAAAGGGTTTGACTAAACATCAGCTGTGGACAACAAACCGATTGTTACTTAATTCAGCTCCTGCTGATTCTCCAGCAAAGTTTTACTGAAGCTGTTATTAGACTCACCTGATTTAACCATTCAGAATCAGAACTCAATCAGGTTTGTGGAAAGTTTGTAAAGACTAAAAAAATGTTGAATGTAAAGAGTTTTCAACAAGTGTGAAGATTTTTCCATATAATCCTTTTTGCGCCATGCTGTGTTCAGGTGGTCACCAGAAGAAAAAAGATTGTTCTTCAAGGGTTTTTAGTAAAGGCAATGGCTCTATTTAGAACCAAAAATGTATATATCTGTATATATCTTTTTATGCTTAAGTGGGTCTTTGCAGGATGAAATCGTTCTTCAGATTGGTGGAGAATGTGTTGTATATGGTCCTATACATCACCAAAAAGGGTTCTTCTGTTCATATAAGCTTGACATTGTAACAGTAGAAGCACCTTTTTGATGCTACATAGAACCATTTACAACACATTCTCCGTAAATCTGAAGAACCATTTCACCATGCAAAAAAAAACATTTAAGTATGAAATAATCCTATATAGAACTCATGACTCTAAATAGAACCACGGACTTCAGTAAAGAACCCTTAAAGAGACATCTTTTTTTAAGTGTGAATATACCTGATTGTTAAAGCTGCACTATGTAATTTCCATGGATTTGGAGAATGTGTAATTGTGGGTTTTGAGGATGTGCGTGAATTATCTACTGTCATCAGTGTAATGTTGGCTTTTGCATTTGAGGCCTTAACATAATAATTATTCATTATTAATTTTTATTCTTGATTGATTTTGATTATTATTGATTGTGTAATTTTTAAATGTAGCACTACTAGTTCATTTTTCTCTGTCCCAACTGATCAGATGTCTGAAAATCTTTGCTATATTAAAAATTGCATAGATTACAATTACAGGTGAAATGTCGCATTATATGTCACATCTAGTAAGGTCTTGTATCCTCTGTAATCCTGAGTTTCTGAGTTGTAGATATGACTTTGTTGGCTGTTTAAGTGTAATTCAAGAGTGGGAAGATTTGTATTTCCCAGTTTCCGACACCAATTGAATGCAGAATAAGGCTGATACCAAGGGAATGAAATATTCTGGAATAACATCTTTGGTTGAAATAGATTTCAGTAAATATGTTGTATTGTGTTGGTAAATTGACATACATACATCATCTAAACCGCTTATCCTTCTGGGTCACGGTGGGGTGCTGGAGCCTATCCCAGCTGTCATTGGGCCGAAGGCAGGATACACCCCTGGACAGGTCACCAGCCCATCGCAGGGCAGACAGACAGACAGACATACACACTCACACCTAGGGGCAATTCAGCACGTCCAATCGGCCTGACTGCATGTTTTTGGACTGTGGGAGGAAACCGGAGTACCCGGAGGAAACCCACGCAGACACGGGGAGAACAGGCAAACTCCACACAGAAACGATCCCGGTCGCCCGGCCGGGAATCGAACCCAGGCCATTCTTGCTGTGAGGCGACAGCGCTACCCACTGCGCCACCGTGCCGCCCGGTAAATTGACTTAGTAGTAAAATATTTCTGAAACATCACTACTTGCTTCCACACTTGTGGCCTGTAGTGTATGTTGTACAGGCAGGAGGCATTGACCTATCCATGTTCTGCCCGCAATGTGTTCTTGAAAATGTTGTGAGGTTATAAAACTTTATATAACATTTGCACAAATTGCACTACATAATACTGAGCTTTTAGTTTAAAACACTATTGATGAGCTGGACTATGCTGTAGCAAATTGAAACTAGGCATGTTTGAAACAACTGTGAATGAAACGATTAGCCACTATGCTAATGTAACTCACTCAAAATGTTGGTATTTTAACAAGAAGTTGTGTGCTACAGTTTCTCATTGGGTTCTGTACAGCTTGCCAACCTAGCAGCTGTAGCTATGTAACTCATTTGTATACATAGGTCAAATTACTATAATAAGGTGGTTTATTTCAGTGAAATTGAACAACTAGAACACTGACTTGACTGATGCCGCACTTGGCCAGCGTGCGCCCAGCTTGGCAAAGTGTTTCCGTGGAGAATTTATCCACAGGCCCACGGGGAAATGGAGCTTCCTGAAACGAGGACTCCCAGACTCCTCCATCTGGGGGGAAGAGATAGAGAGATATGACAGACAAGTGAGGGATTAATGAAGGTGGATATGGAGCAGAAATAGCAAGAATGTTCTTATAAACGAGGAGGGAGAGGAATAAATGAAAAAAGCATGAAAAAGAGGTAAAAAGCAAGAAGGACACAACAATAAAACTGAAGTTCTTCTAGCTAATACCATGAGTCACCTTTTGAGACTTTAACACAATTAGGAACTTATACTCTCTCTTTGCTTTTGTCATTAATCTTTTACCCCTATTGTCCTTCCTCAAATCAGCTTACAGAGTTATTGGCAGCGTATGACATCAGTTGATAGACGACGGGAAATCCTGAAATATCCTTTCGAGTAATCAGGACATGCAAGGTCGAGCGTTTTTCCTGCTTTGTTCAGTTGTGAGCAAAGCCTTTGAGAATGTTAGTGTAGAGCTACCGGGGAATGCCACAGTGCTAGGCAGTGAATAATTATGGCTTCATGAAAATGATTTATTTTATATTCATGTGTGCAAGTTTAACGCAAAGCAGACGGCTTGGCTCCATCGTTCCTGAGCTGAGGAATGTCCTTGGAAGTCAAGAAAGAGTCAGGTGACTTAAGGAATGAGGATCTAAACAAGGGGTGCTCAATCGTGGTCATGGAGATCTACCACCCTGGAAAGTTCAGATCCAACGTACCTGGCTGCAATATTCAGATGTCCCTCAAGGCATTAGATTAGGGTTGGAGCTAAACTGTGCAGAATGACAGATCTCCAGGACCAGGATTGGGCACACCTGCTCTAAACCAATCTAGAGCTAGCAACTTGGAACTTGTAATCTAACTTTAGCAACTAACTAACCTAGGAGTAGCAAGTAACCTAGAGCTGGTAACTAACCTAAGGCTAGCAATCAAACTGGAGCTTGAAACCAACCTGGAACTAGCAATCAAACCGGAATATAAGCTTGAATATAACCTGGGGTAGGAATCAATCTAGAACTGGGAACTAACCTGGAGCTAGGGGTGCCCAAACCAGGTCCTGGAGATCTAGCACACAGTAGAGTTCAGGTTCAACACATTTTGATCTAATATTTGGATACTTCTGAAGGCCTTCATTACCTGGATCAAGTGTGTTTGACTTGGGTCAGAGCTAAATTGGAGCTAAATTTGGACACCCCTGACCTACAGCTAGTAACTAACCTAGGACTAGCAACCTAGAGCAAGGAAATAATGATGGCTAATAATCAATCTAGAGCTGAAAACTTAGGGCTAGCCATCAACCTAGTGCTAGAAACTAACCTAGGGCTAGTAACCTAGAGCAAAGAGCTCACCTTGTATTCAAAATCAACCTAGAGCTAGAGACTAGCCTGGGGCTAGTAATTGACTTAGAGCTCATAACTAACCTGGGACTAGTCCCACGTGGCCAAAGATGATCTTGTAATGAGAACATCTGGGGATACCATGAGAAATTTTTGGCTAAATGTGGGTGGGAACGTAGACTTACTATGGTGGGAGCGAAGAGTGTGAAAATTCGAAAACCAATGCAGTGCAAAGGTGGAGCGCAAAAAAATGTGGCAGTGGTATGCTCATCAGCAGTGTCTGATTGTTTGTGTTATCAGTTGTGATTCAGGCATTAAAAGAGCATAGACTGGTGGGTTTTAGAAGGGCATACTCTCGGTTCCACTGCAATCCAGCATAAAAAGTTTAATGGTTTGTCCCCAGACTTGTGGACCTGGCATTAGCAACCTAGAGCAACGTACTAACCTAGGGTTAGCAACGAACCTAGAGCTAGTAACTAACCTAGGACTAGCAACCATCCTAGAACCAGGAACTAACCTAGAGCTTGTGACTAACCTAGGACTAGCAATCATCCTAGAACTAGGAACTAACCTAGGACTAGCAACCATTCTAGAACTAGAGACTAGCCTAGGGCTAGCAACAAACCTAGAGCTAGTAACTAACCTAGAACTGGCAACCATTCTAGAACTAGAAACTAACCTAGGACTAGCAACAGACCTAGAGCTAGTAACCTAGAACTAATGTTGTGCCACCTGAGACTAACTTGGGATTAGCAACCTAGAGCAACAAACTAACCTAGGGCTGGCAACGAACGTAGAGCTAGTAACTAACCTAGATCTAGCAACCATCCTAGAACTAGGAACTAACCTAGAATTAGCAACCATCTTAGAACTAGGAACTAACCTAGAACTAGCAACTAACCTAGAACTAGCAACCATCCTAGAACTAGGAACTAACCTAGAACTAGCAACTAACCTAGAACTAGCATCCATCCTAGAACTAGGAACTAACCTAGAACTAGCATCCATCCTAGAACTAGGAACTAACCTAGAACTAGCAACTAACCTAGAACTAGCAACCATCCTAGATCTAGGAACTAACCTAGAACTAGGAACTAACCTACACTCTTAACAAAGACTGTTATTCAAGGGTTTTTTAGTAAAGACGGTGATTTGTGATTCTATGAACACTCAAAGAACCATTTGCATGCTTAAATAGTTTTTTTGCATGGTAAAATGTTCTTCAGTTTCGATAGAGAATGTGTTGCATATGGTTCTATGTAGAACCTTTTTTTCTTCTGTTGTTACAAGATTGACATTGTACACCAAAACAGAACCCTTTTTGGTGCTATTTAGAACCATTTCCAAAGAGCTTCTCTATAGAACCCATGTACAGCACATTCCCCATCAATCTAAAGAACCATTTCACCATGTAAAAAATGCAAAGGCTCATTCTTTGAGTGTTCATTGTTCCACATAGAACAATTGTCTTGAAGACCCTTGAAGAACCATCTCTTTAGAGTGTAGGGCTAGAAACTAACCTGCCTAATCAGAATAAATCTTGGCTGGTGTTCATGTTTTTAGGATTTAGGAATTTGGCTAAATCTGGCACATTTAATAATAAAATAATGTGGCTATTTATTGTGTATTGTGCCCGTTAAATAAACAAATATAGTAAAGTAAAGCTCAGGAGCACTGTTACAATGTCTATTCTATATTTCCAGTGTTTTCTAACATTTTAATAACAGGATGTGCAATTGTCCACACTGGTTTTGGCCCTGACCACCTGCATCCTCACTCGCTGAAGGGGGAAAACACGTGAGTGAACTCACGTAAACTGCAGGCCTAAGAAATGGGTTAGTCTCATTTCTCAAGCCCTTTAACTATCAGTTCTAATTATCAGCCATATCCTTAATCCCTTAAACCCCACTTCAGTTTTTCACCCTACAAAACTGTGTAATGTATATATTATTAGCTTCATACCAGTTCTAATGTGTAGTAGTACCTGAATCATAAGTCTTAAGATTAATGGGATTAATAAGTCTACACTCTTAAAAAAAGATGGTTCTTCAAGGGTTGTTTAGTAAAGAAAATGGTTCTATACTGAACCATGAACACTGGAAGAACCCTTTGCATGATCAAAGCGTTCTTTGTATCATAAAAGGGTTCTTCAGATTGATGGACAATGTGCATGAACGTGCTATAGATGGTTCCATATAGTACATTTTTGAAAAGGGTTCTATATAGCACCCAAAAGGGTTCTTCTATTGTTACAAGCATGACACCATAACAATAGTAGAACCCTTTCGGTGCTTTATAGAATGAATGGTTCTATATAGAACCATCTACAGCACATTTTCCGTCAATCTGAGAACGCTTTTACGATGTAAAGAAACCTTTTGTTATACAAAGGGTTTTTGAGTGTTCATGGTTCTGTATAGAACCATTTTCTTTACTAAAGAACGCTTGAAGAACTGTTTTTTTAAGAGTGTAGGATTTAAGGGGTTAACACAGCTCACACTTCAGATAAAGGCCTAATCTGATCTTAGTATTTTTCATAGATCAAATGAGCAGTTCAGTGTGGAAAACATATAAAGACACGAACAATAGTGTAAAGTCTTTCTGTTGTTCAGGATAGAGTAATTGATTCCTCTCACCAGCAAATCAGTGTGACTCACCCACTGCGACACGGTTGTACCTGATAAAGTCTCCTTAAAGGGCGCTGTGTTCTGATGAAAATCGTGCTATAATAATAACAAATATGCTCAAACTGAACTTTTGTTTTACATTTCCTTATTCCAGAGAAATGACGTCTGAAAAGTCCATGTTTTTTTGGTGCGGCCTCAAGCTGCTGGATCCCGCTGTTCTTTTTCCTGCCTTAATGGAAGCTTTGGTTCCCTCAACAAGCCTTTATCATTTTTAATCCGTCTCCTTTCGTCCTTCCCTGCGCCTCCAATAAGCTTTTGCTTTCTCGGACTCCCTCTTTTTCTTTCTTTCTCTCCTGATCCGTGTCTATAGATAGAGAAGCAGGCCCATTGTTCTTAGTGACAGAATTTCCTTCCCCTTGCTGGACAACACCTATATCCTGAGAGAGAGAGGGAGAGCGAGAGACATGGGGATGCAGAGTGCTCGTACAACGTCAGGCCATGAACTAGGCTGTACATTTAGATGTATAGAAAAAGACTAAGACTTGAAGCTAGCGTGTAGACAGGTGCAAGGCTTCAGTAATACACTAATAATGAATTAGGCTACATCCTGTTCAGAAATACCCTGAATTTAGCAAGAATCTCCAGCCGTTTAACGTGGAATGTGATGGTTAAGCCAAAAATCAGATTTACACATCAGCCATCAGCCAAAACGTGTCTGATGTTTGAAGTTTGCTTTAGTTTTTCACTGGAGCTACGAGGCTAATGTAGCTAAAAGGTAATGGACGCTCAATATCTCAGCAGTTAGCGTCATGCTAAGTATGTGAAATGATCACATACCTGCCTGAAACTGAGGGGAGTAGATCAGCAATCTCTGTTAGACTTGCTCACGTGGTTTCCCATAGGAAAAATATTCTTTGTGTCAGAGAAATAAAGCAGGTCTCAATATTATATTAATGAAGGATCGCTGATTCCTGAATTGTTCCTCCTAAACCCCCCTTAGGAGAAAAGAGGAGACTAACCTCAGCATTTCACTGTGAGAAGTTCTGGTGATGAAGGAGAAAAGCATGAGTTCTCCTTCTGC